TTCACCGTGTTGACCAGGATGGTCTCGATCTCTTGACCTCGTGATCCACCCGCCTCGGCCTCCCAAAGTGCTGGGATTACAGGCTTGAGCCACCGCGCCCGGCCTTCCTGGCTAATTTTTGTACTTTTAATAGATATGGTTTCACCATGTTTGCCAGGCTGGTCTCGAACTCCTGACCTCAAATGATCCACCCACCTTGGCCTCCCAAAAGTGCTGGGATTACAGGCATAAGCCACCATGCCCAGCCTTCCTTTAGCACTTTAAATATGTCATGCCACTTTCTGCAGGCCTTTAAGGTTCCCACTGAGAAGTCTGCTGCCAGATATATTGGAACTCCTTTGTATGTTATTTGTTTCTTTTCTTTTGCTGCTTTTAGGACCCTTTCTTTATTCTTGACCTTTGGAAGTGATTATTAAATGTCTATATGTAGTCTTATTTGGGTTATATCTGGTGTTCTATAACCTTCTTATACTTGAATATTAATTATTTTCTCTAGGTTTGGAAAGTTCTGTTTATTATCCCTTTGAATAAACTTTCTATCCGATCTCTCTTTCTACCTCCTTTTAAGACCAATAACTCTTAGATTTATCCTTTTGAGGTTATTCTCTAGATTTAGTAGATACATTTCATTCTTTTTTTAAAACCTTTTTCTCTCTTTGCATTTTATTTTTCTTTTCTTCTTCCTCTTCTTATTTTTTTTTAAGACAAAGTTTCTCACCCAGGCTGGAATGCAGTGATGCAAGCACAGCTCACTGCAGCTTTGACCTCCCAGGCTCAACGGATTCTCTCACTTCAGCCCCCCAAGTAGTTGGAAGTACAGACATGTGCCACCACACCCAGCTAATTAATTTTTATTTTTTTGTAGAGATGAGGTTTCACCATGTTGCCCACACTGGTCTCAACCTTCTGGCCTCAATTATCTGCTGACTTCCCAAAGTGCTGGAATTACAGGCAAGAGCCACCATGCCTGGCCATCTCTGTGTATTTTCAAGTAGGCTTTTTTTTCTTTTTGACAGTTTCGCTCTTGCCGCCAGGCTGGTGTTCAGTGGCATGATCTCTGCTCACTGCAACATCTGCCTCCCAGGTTCAAGTGATTCTCCTACCTCAGGCTCCAGAGTAGCTGGATTACAGGCACCCACCACCATGCCCGGGCAACATTTGTATTTTTAGTAGAGACGGGGTTTCACTATTTTGGCCAGGCTGGTCTGAAACTCCTGACCTCATGTCATCTGCCTACCTCAGCCTCCCACAATGCTGGGATTACAGGCATGAGCCACTGCACCCAGCCAAATAGCTTGTCTTCAAGCTCGCTAATTCTTCTGCTTGATCAATTCTTCTGTGGACTGATGCATTCTTCATATATCAACTGAATTTTTCAGCTCCAGAAGTTCTGCTTGATTCTTTTTAATTATTTCAATCTCTTTGTTAAATTTACCTGATAGGATTCTGAATTCCTTCTCTGCATTATCCTGAATTTCATTGCTCTTCTTCAAAAGAGCTATTTTGAATTCTCTGTCTAAAAAGTTCCCATATCTCTGTCACTTCAGGATTGATCACTGGTGCCTTATTTCATTTGTTTGGTGATGTCATATTTTCCTGGATAGCCTTGATGATGTGGATGTTTGTCAATATCTGGGCATGGAAGAGTTAGGTATTTATTATAGTCTTTGCAAACTGAGCTTGTTTGTACCCATCCTTCTTGGGAAGGCTTGCCAAGCATTCAAAGGGAATTGAGTGTTAAGTCTTTGGTCACTGCAGGCGTATCTGCACTAGGGGGCACCCCAAACCCAATAATGCTGTGACTTTCAGCTGCGCAGAGGTACTGCCTTGGTGGTCTTGGGTAAGATCTGGGAGAATTCCCTGGATTACCAGAGACTCTTGTTTTTTTCCCTTGCTTTCTCAGGAACAGAGTCTCTCTGATAAGCTGCCTGAAGCTGAGGGAGGGATGATACAGGCACCTCTGTGGTAACATCACTGTGACTTTGTTGGGTCAGACCCAAAGCCAGCATAATGCTGTGTCTCACCCAGGGGCCATGGTGACCACTGCTTGACTACTGCCACCCAAGGCAAGTCCAAAAATGTCATCCAGGAGCTAAGGCTTGGAATTGGGAACCCCAAAAGACCACTTGGTGCTCTACCCCACTGTGGCTGAGGTGGTATCCAAGTTGCAAGACAAAG